ACGCAATGGAAGTTCTCATACTTTTTTCCAATCTGAGAACATTAAAAATGTTTAATAATTACGAGAAATTCCAATTTTGTGATTTTTCAAGTTCGTGAAAAATCGGATAATTTTAACGGATAACATAGCATGTGGAACTCACTTCTTTGTTTAAAAAAAATTTACTGCTGTAATATTGGTAGAAGTAAATAAATAAACGTGGGCTCTTGTACTCACATTAATAATATATTTACTGAAAGACTGATAAAATAAATAAAAGTGGAAGGTACTGTCAAAATTCAAAAGATGCTTTAGATAATTAGTATAATCTCTTAATGGATGCTCATATCGTCCTTGAATTATATAATTTAACCTGCTGTCCTAAAATTCACACTAATTTTTCTTCTAGCCTGGCAGAATGGCCACTGCCAACATAGCAGACACATCTCGTTTCTCTACCATGAACAGCCCCACTGGGCTGCCCTCTCCAATTCCGGCTTATGGAACACCTGATTATCGTCACAATCGCCAGAAGGCAATGTTTGCAAATGCAACATCTTCAGGAACCTCCAGGATCAGTGCAGAGAGCCACGCAGGTGGTCCTCCAACAAAAGGTCTTTTCGACACCTTCGAGACAGCTCCACCAATGGAATCATTCTCTGGAGGGAACAAAAGTCTCTCAAGAAGTCTTCCAAGAAATTTAGTCAATAGCAATGATCCTTTCCTACTGGACAGCCCTAACATCGGTACTGGAGAAGCTCAAGGTCTTCTTAGATGGATCACAGTCTTTGGATTTCCTCCAAATGGTGTCAACATCGTTCTCTCTCACATCTCCAACAGAGTTAGAATCGTTGATAAACATCCGCCCCCTCAGACCCAGAGCAATTGGATTCATCTCAAATGTGCCACTGAACAAGAAGCCCAGAGAGCATTAACTTGCAATGGAAACATTGTCTCTGGTTGCATCATGATTGGAGTGACTCCTTGCACAGATGAAGGAGTAGTGATGCATTCTGATAAGGAGAACTGGACCGCCAATGGCAGCATGAGAATCTTCTCGTCGCCTACTAAAATTGGAACATCTGAGTCTGGGAATATTTTGAGTAGTCCCAAGAGCTCTATCACGAAAAGAGTCTTGTTCAATTCTCAGTATAGTCCTTCCAACATTAGACAACCTGACAATGTTCCTCAAAGATCGACAGGAATCGTTTCTAGAGCCATGGAGTATGTTTTCGGGTGGTGATTTGGGGTCCAGAAATTTAGGGTAATTTTCGCCTTTTCTCTTGAATTTAGGGAAAAGATGATAAGAAGATTATTTTTCTAACTATGTTGAGAGATTCTATCACCTTTTCCCCTCTGTACTTCAGAGGAATTTTCGTTTTAATTTATACTTTTTTTGTCTGACTGAATTACCTGATTTTCCTATTGCGGTAACTCTTCATTATTATTTTTTTTCTACATTTTTGAAAGGTCAATGAGGTTTTAGATTATTTTATAACAAAATCAAGGTAAATTCAGGTATTTCTTGAATTAGAAGAGAATTAATTGAATTTAATTAGCTTATTTATTTCAATTCTCTAAATTCATTTCCTCTTAGGTGAGGATAAACTATGAGGTAAAAAACATGTAATTATACAGATATACTATGATATAAGTAGAGTTAGTAGGACATTTTTATATTGATTTTTTCCTAGTATAAAAAAAAAGAAAGAAACGAATCGGATCAGTGTCAATCATTGGAGTTATTTTACAGAGATTATTCCATTCTCACTAGAGCTTACAATTTTAATAAAATTTTAATAGTTCTATTGAATTAATAATATAATACATTTTGCACGTAAAAAAAGAAAATTTATCATTAACTATTAATCATTAATTTTCCACATTTCCTCATTGTTTTACTTATACTTAGACAATCATTACAGTCTTGTGGGACTATTATATGAATAAATAGCTCTGAATTCATGTTACAATTTTTTTTCCATTAGAGAGGTTGATTTGACTACTTCGGGTTTTCAATTGTTGCACTTCCAAGATCGGTCATTTTTGGGTATTTCACTTTTTTCTTGTCGAGTTCATCCTGTGCCCACAGAATCATCTTGAGGAGATTATTTAGTCTTGGGCTCGTTGACTCTCTGTGCTCCATTTTTAAAATTGCTGTGTTCAATTCACTTGCAATCTATGGACCGCAAAAAAAATTAATTCAATATACAATTAAAATTATTTTATCAAGAACCTGTATGTACTATCGGACGTAATCTTTGAGTTGAATTTGCTCGTATTCGTGCTAAATATTTGGGTTTCAAATCGTGTTGCGGAAACAACTTCAAGAAAAAGAAGAAAAATTACTGAAGGACAGTACATACGGGCCTTGATTCATAACTAATCAATCAAAATAATTGCACGAAATAGCGCCAACGAAAAATGTTCAACTAGTCTCGAATAATATCGAACAATTACAATATCAATTTTACCTTTTGTCTGTGCGATGGATGAAGTAAATCACTAAAAGGACTCTTCATGGGTTCTTCAAATGCTAATAATGCAAGAGTCCTCTCCAGCTCACTTAAAATATTGTCGTCGGCTTCACCAGCCTCACTTAGCTGCTCCTGGGCAAATTGCAGTGCCTCCTCTATTCGTCCAGTTCGAATAAGTTCAATGAGATGCAGCTGTTGCAAGTGAAAATACAGGTATCTGTCATTATCGAGTAACTCCGGATGGAGTTGATTAACAAGATCTGTAGCCTCTTGGATTCTTCCATTTTGGACTGCATCACGAATGCGAATTCTGTCGTCCATAGAATTCAGCTCCACTGTGGGACCAACACCAGATTCTTGTTGGAATTTTTCAGCTGCTTCTTTAAAGCCCTCTGAGGAATTCAAATAAACTTGTAATAATTTTCACTTGCTTCACTTTGAGAGGTGAAGAAGACTGAATTCAAATCAAGTCAATTCATTTTCTGTTTTAGCTAACAAGTTCGTAAATCTTTTAAATTAAAATTTTTTATTTTGTTTATCTTTTTTTTATGACTTCAATTAAATTACATTATAATTCATACGCCATCATGTAATGTTCCCTTGTCTTTTCAATCCCATTTAATTAATCTGTCTCTGAGATATTG